GGGGGGGGGTGATGGTGGACGGAGCGGGTGCCGTGGCGATAGGGTTGACGAGCGTGTGGACGACGATTTTATGCCCCGTGGTCGTTTGTTTTGAAGCGGTTGAGACACGGGGGTAGGCGAGATGACAGTATTGCGTCTCGTGTACGCAGACGTCGTGTCCACATTGCGATCGACACGGGGGCACGTGACATGCGGCAGGACCCGGTTGCCGTGTCAGAGGACGAGATGGGAGATCCTTCCAACGAGACGCAGCGTGACCCGGTTCATGCAGAGGAGCTAGCCTCGAACACTGATGTGATAGTGACGGAGGAGGATATAGGGTTCAGGATCACTCATCCCCGGTTGTTGGCACAGAGGAGGAGACGGAGTTCGAAGGACCCGGTCCACTCCGCCAGGAGCAGACTCGGTGCACTCCAGCAGGCACCCCAGTCCACTCCACAGGAGCGGGTTTGGAGGACGGCGAGGCACGACGTGAGCCGCCTCCTCACACAAGTGACGGCGGTCTAGAGGAGGGAGAGGTTGCACCCACTCCCACTTGTGGAAAGGACAGGGAGGACGAACGTCCTCCGACGGACCACCACGTCGGCCTCGACTGCCCGCCCGACAGTCTTCCGCCCACCGACGAGCTATTCACCATGGATTCCGCCGTGGCATCTCTGCCCGATATATCGCTACTGATATCTCCCACTTCGTCGGTTGTGGCACCACCGGAGCCTGCTTGATGAGATAACGCGCGTCGTGACAGAGGGTTCGACGAGTTCGGCGGCGACACGATACTGCATCCTCCAGAGTCCGGCACTCCTGCCATTTTTGATGTCGGTGCACCGTGGGCGGTGGAGCAGGGGTTGGCGGAGGAGGTGGCACGGAACCGTCGTGGTGGACCGCACGTCGCAGCTCAACGTAGTCTGGAAGGTTCACTAGGGGCAGCGTCTGGAGATTTTTTGGCGCAGGGGGGTCATGGTTCGCAGCTGTTATCGGACGGCGTGTCATCAGTCCATCCACCAGAGGAGGGCCCGCAGCAAGAGCCACATCGAGGGCCAGCAGAGACTATAGAGGCAAGGCCTCCCGGAGTTATCCGCTCGGACAGAGGCGAGGGCGTGAGCGAGGATACAGCGCAGCCAGGGAGCGCAGATGGTGGACGGTCCTTCAGGGGGGGCATCGAGCGCAGAGGGTTATCGACCGCACACCCCAGCATTGTCAGGTCCAGCACACATGACGTTGGAGACGGGCACACAGATGAGCCTCGACCGCATTTGACGGGGATGCATGACATTATGTGTCCACCACCCTCACGCCCCTCTGCCGCTGATCCTGCCGCCCACGGGCAGGCCGCGCCGAGCGCATTGCCTACGAGGTCTTTCTACGA